GAACTTGCTCCCATGTCTGTGGCCATGTTGTTTTTATAATAGTTTATATGTCTGTTCCTGCTCAGTCCCAGCAGACTGTGAGCCTTGAGGGCAGGAACTGGGTCACCAGCCCCAGCACTCAGGACAGAGGCTGGCTGGTTCTCAGGAATTGCCGAAGGACTGAGTGTGCCAGCAACGCAGAGACGGCTCTGCTGGCCTTGCGTCCTGGCCTTGGCTTCTCCTTCTGCTCTCCTCAATAAGCAGAGTGTTAAGGTTCACCCGCAGCCCTCTCGTCTCGAACCTGGTTCTCCTGCAAACCTCGTTTTCTCTGAAATAGAATGATCTGTTTAGAGTCTCTCCTCTGAGCTCCTGTAATACAACTTCAGTTGCCACCGTGAGGTCCTGTAGCATCTTAAATTCAACAGGTCTAACTCCAAACTCACAGCCCTTTGCAAGTCAGTTTTTCTCAGCACTTCCTGGTTTCTGAGAGGGGGACCACCGTGTTCAGTACCCCAGTCACAAAATCCTCGATTCGCTGTCAACTTGTCTTTCTATACCTCATCGTCTTATCGCTGTACGAGCTAGGAATCTGTTGGTTGCAAGAGGTTTCAACTCAAACTAGCTTAGGCTCTTACATAACTGGGAAATCCAAGGATATCCTGCTTCCATACACAGATGAGTCCAGAGGTTCCAATCTAAGGTCACAGGGGCTCCTGCCTTTCTACCCCTGAGTTCTGCTTTCCTTCCTGTGGGTTCCATTCTCGGGCAAATTTGCTCATGTGGCAAGATGGCAGTCAGCCAGTCCAGGCTTCCACCATACCCTCCTAGCAACACCAGGGGAAAGAGAGCACCCTGTTGTCAGGTAATGTAGATGCTCCCCCTCCCCCCCCCCCCGAAGAGCTTTTATTCTAACTGGATCATGTGCCAATTCCTCAGTTTCTGGGGCTGGGGGCTTGAAGTGGAGGTGATGCTGAATACCCAGCTCTGGAACCTAGGGGTAGAGTCGATTCATCCAAAACACATGAACAGAGACTGGGGGTGGAATGGTTGTCTAAGAAATATATGGGTTCTGTCACCAGGGAAAAAGAGGACTTATGTGAGGGTGGATACCAGCTAAGGAGACACCTGCCACAGTCTGAGAGATGGCAGGTAAGGATCTGAACAGGTAAGTGATGTAGGCACAGAAAACGAAGAGAAGCATCTTAAAGACAGCTAGGAGTTAGAACTGACAAACTTGTATAAGGGTGAGAGACAGGCAGGAATCCAAGATGACATTAATTTCTGGCTTAGGAATCGGTGGGTGGTAACGGCTTTCCCGAGACCTGGAACAGATTTTAAAGGAGGAAAAGTGATGACTGAGTTTACATGTTCAGTTTGGATGTTTATGGATCCTTAGGTAGAGATGTCCAGTGGATGTGGGTTGGAGATGAACATGGGGTCACCAGACAGGTGATGGTTGGAGTCATGGAAATGGGTGAAAATGAGCCATGAGGAATGTAATGTCCACAGTGAGAAGGTAGCCAAGACCTAGCCCAGTGAAAACATTTTAAGGAGTGTGCCAAGAGTGGTTAATAGTCAGATACTACACAAGGTATATAAAAGCTAGATTGGTCTATCTAATTAGCAATTACAAAGTAACTGGTGACTTTGGTGAGTAGTTGCATTGGAATGGTAATGGCACAAGCCAGGATTAAGGAGAATCAAGGATGGGATGGGAGCCGAGGAAGCACAGGCTTAGGGCAAAGGTATTCCTCTGAAGGAGCTTGGCTGTGACAGAAGATTGGCCAGAATACAGTGTCTTTTCCCTAAAGCACATATTCTTTGTGGTTATCAATCAACACTTAAATTGCTTTTAGTAGCTTTTGTTTTAAACATATGCACATCTGTTCTACATTCTCAACTAGACTAAGTTTTTTCTTTGCTTTTTTACTTCCTTCCTCTCTCTTTTCTTCAAGAGCAAGCACACGTGCCAGCAGGGGGAGAGGGACAGAGGGAGAGAGAATCTCAGGCAGGCTCCATACTCAGTGCAGAGCCCAACATGGTGCTTGATCTCTTGACCATGAGATCATGACCTGAACCAAAATCAAGAGTTGGATGCTCAACTGACTGAGCCACCCAGGTGCTCCTAGACTGTGTGAACTTCATTAGGACCAAGAACGGTACTCTGCCCACAGTGAGGATAAAATGCTTGTCGACTGATAAAACACGAATTTGGAACTGGAGCAAAGGTGTCCTGAACCTGAGCCAATCCAGTTTTTCTCCCACTCTGGGAAAAGGAACGTGTAGCAACTTAGGCGAGGCACAGTCCAGAAGGCCTTCTAGAGCTGACACTCTGAACGTGGGAACATGGCTCCAGGGTGCTGGGGTCCCGGGAGGTGCTTGGTATTCTGAGGCTAGCTGTAATTTACGGATTTGTGGTCTATATACAAGGCAAAAGGCGAGAGAGGCCTGTTTTACATGTTCATCCAGCAGAATAAAACCTTTATATTCCAGTTCATCACTGAATCCTGAATGGTGGTCGGAATCTCTGACATGCCTCAGCAAGGCCAAGCAATCCCATTTAAAAGAGATGTTTGTGAGTGCTCCACATTAAAAGTTCCGGACTGGACTTGGCTGGTTCTAATACTGAATAGGAAAAGCAGCACAAAATGGTCCCGTGAGCTAGTGTGACATCAGGAAAAAGAGCATTAAACATGATAGCTGTAAGACCTCGTTCTCTAAGTCTCTATGTCATTAGTTAGTGCCCTTGGGCTAGCTGCTAGACTTTTCTGAGGCTGTACTGTAATTTGTTATGAGGGGATAATACCTACCTTGCCAACTTCATTAAACTCCAGTGAATGGCGCACATAATCCTCCTTTCCTCTCTTTCACTAAGAACTAAAATGGTATATAAAAGTGTTGGGTAAACTACAGAGCAGGAATGGTGGTGTTTAACCTGTTAAGCACCTACTATATACTTGGCACTTTGCTTATGCAGTGCGTCTCTGCAAGGTACAGCTGAAATCACCACGCACTTTTCTGTGACGTGACCCTCTCCCATAACATTCTCCTCTCCTTGGATCACTGGTGTTTCACATCTCTCAGATGTCAGTTTTAGAACAAGAGCTTTTAAAGATCCAGATCTATTAAAAGGACTTGGCAATGGTCCCAACGTGCCTGACTGGTGATTAACAGCATCTTTCTAACCAGCAAATCCAGACGGCCACAGATCATGTTCTCTGGATCTAAAATTCCACAGAGTTGAGCACCGGAGCAGATGCAAAAAGAATGATGGAGGTAAGAAGTAGAGATGTGTGAATCGTGTGCTGGAATTACAAGCACAGGGAGCGGTACTGGTCTCAGCAACACAGGTGAGGTCTGCGAGGAGCTTCCAGAAATAGGAGAGAGGAAAACTTTATCATGAATGTGGGAAGAACATGCAATCTCAAGTAGGAAAAACAAAAAACCAAAAACAGGAAAAGCTGGAAAAAAAGTTTAGTTCTCCTGTGCTTCAGTTTTTGAAGGTTATATGAAGTATAATTTGGAGATCAAAGTGGGATTTGCAAGATGAATTCAGTATTTAAACATTCGTTTCCTTGCTGCCCCAGGAAAGTTGTAACATTAGAAAATTAGTGATTGTTCGGGGCGCCTGGGTGGCTTAGTCGGTTAAGCGTCCGACTTTCGCTTAGGTCATGATCTCGCGGTTCATGGGTTGGAGCCCCGCGTCGGGCTCTGTGCCGACTGCTAGCTCGGAGCCTGGAGCCTGTTTCGGTCTGTGACTCCCTCTCTCTCTGACCCTCCCCTGCTCATGCTGTCTCTCTCTCTCTCTCTCTCTCCTAGAAATAAATAAAACATTAAAAAAAATTAAAAAAAAAAAGAAAATTAGTGATTGTTCATATTCTGCTTACATCCCATGGAGTGGTTTTCCCACCATATGCTGATGACAGGGATGTACATCACAACCCATGTGAGGTTTTGAGAATGTTAGTTATAAACAGACTGACTTCAGAGGTCCCCAATGAGGGACCAAGATGTGCAGTGCAAACGACTCCTCTTCATGCCTCAAGGGGCCAGACGGTGCCTTATCAGAGGGTGTTCTGGCTGCGCCTGTGCACGGGCCTATGGTATTTTCACTCAGGGCAAGAGAAGCAGCTGGTAATGTCCGCTTCATTTGAACACTTCTTTTTAAGTGGCTTTTTCCCATTTCTGTCTCAAATGGGAAAATAACATCTTTAGAACAAGGAAAACAACCTTTCTTTCTGAACTCAAAACATTAACCATTATTTCCTATGGTGATCCCAAGCTCGCTGCAGATGCGGCACACAAGGAAAGCTCATACAGCAGAAATGCCATCACATAAACCGCTCTCTGTATCTCCCCTACTCACCGCTCTTCCTCTTACTTCCCTAAGAGTAACTTCCAAAGCATCTGATAAAACTCCACATATGTATTAAGATGATGCACAACATTTCGCGCACTGACATCAGTCAGTTCTGGGAGCAGATCTTGCTTTGAGTTAGTTTCAGATGACAAGGCCCAGTTAGAGGGAGTCTACACTCCGAGGCTATCCCACCTCGGGAGAACCTAGCGCCTGCCAGGAGCCTGCTCCTCATGGTGAGGTGCCCTCTGGTGCTCACCAGCCACCTGCGTCCTTGTCATCTGTGCGCGACAGTGGCTGGGCCAGACTGCAGACATTAGTAACCTGTAATTATTACATTAAGATTCCTAACTGGTTTATTGGTTATTTCCAAACTGTACCCAAAATATTTAGACTACTGAGTGCTCAAAGTAAAGACATGCTACGCTACTTCCGATCGTCCATTTTTTTCAGAGGACGTCTACTTTCTCCAGCCTTCCAAACAGCAGCATGTAGAAGATACTCCAGTGAGGGTTTGTATTACAAGTTGAAGGATAAGTTTTAGGAAAGGATATTTCCAAGTCACTGAAAGCCGCCTGTGAGAAAAATGAGGAAACAGCAACGCTAACCCAAGTGAATCAAGCAAAAATACTAATTGTCCTCATATAAACTATTAAGCACAAAATATAAACAACATATTGTAACTTTATTAGATTTTTCTATTTTACTGGCTGTTTGGACTCAAAGGCCTTAGTAACCTGTAACTTTAACACCTCAGGTGTCAACAGTACAAAGCACAAATCTGACTAGGTGGCACAAGACCAGTCAAGCTGTCAAACAGAGCACCTGCTGACATCACAGCTGTGGCCATTCGATGTATTTGTATTAACTCAATCACAAACATAAGACAGTTGGTATGATGTGAGAGTTCACTGCTGCTGCCGTGCAAGGCATCACCCACGAACAGCCTACCAGACCAGGCCCAATTAATGGCAGATACCAGCTGGTGCCACTGTGCAGGTAAGCCAAAACTCTGCCTCATATTTAGAAGGAGAAAAGTACCAAGTCTATAAAAAACTATTTTCTTTTGGGCTCCTATTCCTACACCCACATACTCATTCCCTGCTCAGTATGTCCCATTATCCATTCATCTAATATCCGGATAGGACTCTGTGGGTACTTTCCAAAGTGAGAGCGGTGCTTAGGATCAGGGAAGGAGGCAGATGCGTGGATAAATGGACCAACTGACAAGAGGAGGGCAAGGAAAGGTTTCAAAACTTTCTTAGTTAATAGGATGTTCTTCATGACACCCCTCAGAATGTAAACAAAGCTCGGTGTTAAAAGGTTCATTCTGATGAGTAAAGACTTACAGGACTGAGTCAGGCAGTATCTTGGCCTATGTGCACCCCCTTCTAATAGATTTTCCTAAACCTGTGGGGCAGTCAGGGAGGAAGCATAGCCACCCTTGCCAACAGAGGGCAGCAGGACTCTTCCCGGAACGTAACGTTGCAACACTGGCTCCTGAAAGCAGCAGCCGCCTGCCAGCCGCTTTGCGACAGGCAGTCATAGCTGCACAATTTGGAACCGTCAGGTCTCAAGTCTGGTGTCTGAGGAGCGTTTCAGTCCACCTCCGTGCTGTGAGGGGCGGTGGCGCTCGGTGGCTGTGGTGGGTGCTCTAGCCTTTGATCACGGCAATCGGTCTCAGTTTAATGGCCTTCTTGCTGATGCCGGCGTCATGGCAGGTGTTCACCACGTCGGTCACGTTCTTATAGGACTCAGGAGCCTGCAGGGGGGTCAGACATTGTCAAAGACTATCAAAATGGAGCCCTCGAAAGCATTAAATTTCATGTGGGATTACAGAAATGCACATTAATGTGCATACGGAGTTTCCTCTTGTCTATCAAATAAAGATTAAAATGACGAATGAGCTCAGTGTTGGTAAGGGTGATCGTGAGATAAACACTTCCATCCTGTTTTATATTTTTTCTGTAGTTCTCATAATTTCCCCATAGAACATATGTTACTTGTTTTACTAGGAAAAGAGGTAAATGTAACTGAACAAAACATAGACACCAATACCCAACAGAAAAGAAATGCACCAAACTATCCTGTCAGTGGTAATTATCTATGGATGGTAGTTACTGGCTATTTTGATTTTCTTTCCCTATATATTTCTGCAGTTATCACAATTTCTGGAATGAACACACATTACTACCTTCACAATAAGGGAAAGTTCTGTTCAATGCATGTATCTCACTGCCAGCGTATGTGCATACGTTCATGTGTACACACACGTACACGCACACTGTGAGTCTCCAGCAAAACCACCACCCACGCCTCCCACCCGGTCACTGTCCTTCCACACACCCGTTCCTGGTCATGTCAGCACAGGCGCTCAGGCCTCCTGGCTGACTCCTCTCGAGCTCATGTCCCTTTCCCTGTAAGTTCTAACTTCCCCACCGCAGCCCCTAGAACTCCCTCCAGGGAGTCGTGTGCAGAATCCTCTCTCTCTTCCCCTCTTCTCCAGAGAGCCCCTTCCCCTTCTCGTTCTTGCTGAAGCACAGACCTCCCCTAGGGTTATTACTCTCACCTCCAACCTCTGAAGTAGTAGCTATTTTCTCTCCTAAATGGGGTCCTGTCATGAGGCCCAGACTTGCTCTTCTTGGTTCTTTCCAGACCATTCATACTCCTTCCTCCGTAAGTACCCCCAGCTTTGAGTCTCACAGTCATAACATGTTCCTACCCCTTCTTGATACAGTTCTCTGCTAGACTCTGAATCACTCCCCAGCATTACCTGAAGATTTCTTACCCTTGGCTCACTGTCCCTCTCTCGTTAATAATTCCAAATGATTTCAGTATCTAGGAAGAGGACCCTTTCAGTATCTTGACTTCTTAGTTCCCTGAGTTTTGCTCCTTCAAGTTTATTTATTTTGAGAGAGAAAGAGGAGAAAGAGAGCACAAGCAGGGGAGAGGCGGGGTGGGGAGGAGAGAGAGAATCCTGCACTGTTAGCACGGAGCCCAACATGGGGGCTTGATCTCATGAACCATGAGATCATGACCTGAGCCGAAACCAAGAGTCAGATGCTAAACCAACTGAGCAACCCAGGCGCTCTGAGTTTTGCTCCTTCAGTGCTTACCTGGGCCATTCACTCCCACCCAGGGCCGTGCCCCAGAACTTGTCATTACCAGCGATTACAACCCCTCCATAATCTCAGTTTCAAGGATGTCAGGCTGGTGACGACAGCTGGGTTTCCAACTCACTCCCCTCCTGTGCTCCATCTCCAACAAGACCTACAACCCCTTTGCAACACCCTCAACAACTTTGCTTCTCTTCCACTGCACCGTACTTGCAAACCCGGTTTAAGTTAGCCCAACATCTAGTCCAGGCCTGCACCTGCACAGCTGAATGTAGTTGAAAAATACCCAACCACTGAATTTAGCTCAAGCAGGTGCTTGCTGTTGTCCTGGCAACTACCCAAAACCTCCCCAGGCTGATTACTATTTCTCTTAAATAGTCATCTCCTACCTTCTCCTGGAGCCTTACTCTTAGTTGCTCGTACTACTTTCTATTACACTGAAAACAGAGAAACACCTGGAATAGAATCTCCATAAACTCTCATCATTATCTTCTCTGACTACCTGCATCCTACCTTCTCTGCTTTTATTAACGATTCATTATCTGAGCTCCTGGCAAAACCAACCTCACCCACCTGCACACCTGATTCCATCTCCTCTCTCCAGACACTGCTCCAGTAATTCCCTCTGCTTTCCTGCATTACCAACTTCTCTTCTAGATCATTCTCATCAGGGTGCCAGACCTTGTTACTCTTCTGCTCAACATTCTCCAATGTCTTCCCATCATCTCACTCAGAGTAAGAAGAGCAAAAGTCTTTTGAAGTAAGAAAAGGCAAGGACCCACACAATTTGGTGCCCTGGCCTCTCTGACCTCATCTACTCATGGTGGCCTCCTTGCTATGTCTCGAACACTCAGGTATAACCTTGCCTTAGGGCTTCTGCACATGGCTGTTCTCTGTGCCTGGAAAGCTTGCCCCTAGTTCCCCACATATACTCCACAGCCCACCCCCTCACTGCCTTCAGGTCTTCACTCAAGTATTACCCCCTACACCCTACTTAAAACTGCACCTACTTCCTATTTTTCCCAATCCCTGTCCCTTTTGTACTTTGTAGTACTTACTGTCATCCAACACATTACATCTTTTACTATGTGCTAAATTTCACAAGAAAGGGATTTGTTGGTTTTCTTCAGAGCACCTAACTATAGCAGATGTTTAATAAGTGTTTCCTGAGTTAATGAAATAAATCATATGCAAAACATGCAACTAAGGAAACTACCAACTGTTAATAGAGATAACTAAGGAAAATACCAACTGTTAATAGAGGTTATCTCTGGCTGGTGGAACTTTACGTGGCTTGTTTTCTTCTTTGAGTTTCCAAACTCTCTTAATTAAATAGGCGTTATTCTTAAAATCATAGAAAAAATTAGTAGTTCTTAAAAAATAAGGCTTTGTAAGACTCTGTGATTCAGTAAACCTACTTTTGGGACTTCACTGTAATTATTAAAACAGTATGAAGACACACATTACAACTTAATTTATAGCAGCAAAAATTTGGAAGCTACTTAAATGTCCAATATGGGCAGAAACTCATGGTACTTAACTGGCAGAATATTTGGCAATCATTAATAATTAATTGTTTGATCCTTATAAACAATACTACAGTAATGTGCTAACTTAAAAAAAGGACTACAAAATGTTTGTAAATCATGATTATAATTAGTTTTCCAAAAAAGCATTTAGGGAGGCTATTGCAGTCAGCATCTTAAAAAAGGAGGTAACAGTTGTGTTAGGGCACTGAGTTTCTGGATGACTACTTTTCTTTTAAACTTTAAAAAAAGTTATATTGCTTCTAATTTGAATATGTACATATCGGTACATAAACATACACATAATTTAAACAAAACCTTGGCTCCCTTTTGAATCAAAATTATTTCCCTAAACAGTTTACCCTTGCCTTTTAAAATCTGCTTTCAAACTTATTTTATTTATGTATTACATGTATTTAGAGAGTGTGCACAAAGATGGAAAGGGGAGAGTAAGAGAGGGAGAGGGAATCTTAAACAGGCACCACGCCCAGTGTGGAGCCTAATGGGGGCTTGATCTCACGACTGTGAGATCATGACCTGAGCCAAAATCAAGAGTTGGATGCTTAACCAACTGAGCCACCCAGGTGCCCAGCTTTCAAATTTAAGTATACAGCTGTGCAAAAGAAAAGTTAAAATGAGTCAGCTCAAACAATTTTTAAAGTTTAATATGTAGAAAGGTAAGAATCATTCTATGGACTTGGCTTATAATTAGTCTCCAAACAAAAGACAATGATAAACTATAATTGAGGTTGTTTAAAAAAAAAAACCCAAACATAGTATCTTAAAGCAATACTAAAAATTATTCTGTGTAGTGACCTTAACCACAGACAGTTTTGTGTTGAATATTTATCAAATTTTCACTCACCTCCTCCATAACCAGTTTGGGTGAGGCAACGCGGATGGCGATCCCCATATCTGCCAGTTTGTCCAAGACATCCTGGAAATCTAAATTACGTCGAGATTTTGCTCGGGACAGTGCACGGCCCTGGATTGGGAACAGAATGAACTTCACTTATAAATTCTGAGCTACAATCTATGTTCAATTCCAGCAATTATTTAAGCCCTTGGGATTATATGCCTTTTCCTTGACTTCTTTTTAAATAAAAAAAAAAGTTAAAAAACAACAATCTTTTTCTGTATTATTAACCTTATTAGCTGTCTTCTGTTACAAGTCTCATCATAACCTTCTGGAAAACAAATTTCCATCTATACAAAACATTCAGTAAAGATTTTGTTTTGTGTTTCTAAAAACTGTCAATCCAAAATAAATACATTGATTTTAATTGTAAACAGTATGTCTATTATCACAAAAACTTTATGCTTTGTGATTTAAGACAATTTCTCAATGTCAACATTACTGCCATTTTATTTATGTGCTTATTAAATGTTTATTTATTTTTGAGAGAAAGAGAGAGAGAGGGAGAAAGAGAGCGAGCAAGCAGGGGAGGGGCAGAGAGGGAGGGAGATACAGAATCCGAAGCAGGCTCCAGGCTCTCAGCTGTCAGCACAGAGCCTGACGCGGGGCTTGAACCCATGAACCATGAGATCATGACCTGAGCTGAAGTTGGACATTTAACTGACTGAGCCACCAAGGCACCCCAACACTACTGACATTTTGGACCAGATCATTCTTGGTCGTGTAGAATGTTCAGCAGCAACCTTGGCCTCTACTAGATGCCAGCAGCAAAGCTACTCCACCTCACTGTGACCAAAAAACAAAAACAAAAACAAAAACACCCCCCACCCAAACCAAAACAAAAACACAACTGCTTCCATGTGTTGCTAATGTGTGGTGTGAGCTGTTGTGCTGGTTTTGATCACTGAGTTAAAATTAGGAATTGGGAGGCAGCTGGAAATGAGAAAGGATCAGAGAAAAAGGAGGATTTAAATATACTTGTGAAGGTCTGTCCTAGGAGAAGGTACTTTAATTTCTGTTTTCTACTTCACCACTAGCTAAGCACTCTCATGGCTTAGAACAGGGACTGGCAAAATGGTCTGTGGGCCAAATCTGGCCTACCACCCATTTTTGTAAATAAAGTTTTACTGGAACACAGTAATTCCCATTCCCATTTGTTTATGTATTGTGTACGCTGCTTTTTCACTACAATGGCACAATGGAATAGTTGCTACAGAGATCACTTGGCCCAAAAGCCTAAAATACTTACCACCTGATGCTTTACAAAGTTTACCAACCCCTGACTTAGAATGTAAGAGGAGATATGGTCAATAGGTGTGTATGCAGTCTATGCCTGGGCTCTGATTTGCAAATCCTCCAAATCTTGAGTGGACCTACCTAGTAAGGAGCAAATTATGCAAATGACTAGGTCCAGTGAATGGCTGAGATAAGCTTTGATGTAAACTTGCATCAGTTAAAGTTATATTCGTTATGCTGGTGTGACAATTTCTCAGTCTGGACTTTGTGGCCATGCAGAGACGAGGCACAGCCTCTGGCCCTACAATGACTCCACTAAAGTAGACATACTAGGTGACCTTAGTCAGTTCCTTAGACAGTGTACACTATGGGAATAAATTCAGGTAGAAGGCAAGATACATCCAAACTTCAACTTTGTTAATGCTCAAACACATCTACCTATCGAAATGCAAAATGATGATGAAATGGAAGACAGCATTACTACCTAAGTTTCTGTTTTCCTTACCGCTCCGTGACAAGTTGTTCCGAAGGTCTCAGTCATGCCCTGTTCAGTGCCAGTAAGAACGTAACTACAGGTGCCCATGGTGCCACCAATGAGCACTGGTTGTCCAGTGAGCTGAGGATACACAAATCAAATATATTACAATTTAGAAAAGCGTGAGCTTTTGATGCCTGGGATTTACACTTCCTCTAGCATTGCAAGACTGTGGGAGAAACCTGGGCCTCTAGATATATTGTTTTCACAACTGTATTATAAAATTATTTTAATTCTTTGATAACTGAGAGAGAAGTGGAAGGGAGTGAAAATGTGAGGACCAGGAAGGCAGCAGAAGACATACAATATAAGAGCAAAGCCAAATTCAAACATTTGGAGAAGTATTATTAGGAAGAACTATCCCAGGCAAGGCACCTTGCCCTCTCCAAGGTCTGGTTTCCTCATCTATAAAATGGGAGCAGACTAAGGGCCCTTCTACCTCGATCACAGCCAGGTATCAATAGGAGAAGAGAAATGAAGACCGTGTTTAATCTTAATCTTGCCTTCCAATCATTCACAGGCCTTGGAAAGATCACCTTTATGGAGTAAAATAATCTCCGTGCAGGATATTTTAGACAGCCCACTGCAAGCAGATGCTAGGAGTCGCTACTTCAGAGAAGACTGGAAATCACCGTTCTCAAGGATGACAGATTTTCTATTCACAACTGCTGCCTTTCTCTTTATTTATTATCTTTTTAAAGTTTATTTATTTTGACAGAGAGAGAGAGAGCAAGTGAGCGAGCAGGGGAGGGGCAGAGAGAGAGGGAGAGAGAGAATCCCAAGCAGGCTCTGCACTGTCAGCACAGAGCCTGACACAAGGCTCGATTTCACAAACTGAGATCAAAGTCAGACACCCAACCGAGCCACCCAGGTGCCCCAGCCTTTCTGTTTAAATTCACCCATGTTTAGAGCTCCCTATATCATGCCGCCATGGCTTGAAACCACAAATGGCTTAGTACATACTTGATAATCAACAGCAATGAGGGGATGGTGAGGAGGAAAAGCTCGGGTGGATCCTTTCCTGTGCACCAACAGCGTCCGTTCCTTTCCATCCACCACATGCTGTTCGACTTTGGCAATATTATGAGAAACATCATAGATCACGTGCAGGTCCAAGTCATCAGGAGTTGTGTTGAAGACCTTGGCAAAAGCCTAAGGGGAGAAACCTGAGTTAAAAGCAGCCAGAACCAGCTCTTCAGAACTCATCTGATTTCAGTTCATCAGTTTCTGAAGGGAGTGAGGCGTTTAAGAACTCAAATACAGAGGCATTATTAATCTTCACATAAAAGACAAAACCATCTTTTACACCACATTGCAAATTCTACTCCATAAATTCCAACTCTGGTTGAAAAGCCGCTGGGCTATTCTTGATCCCACACTCAAAACTTCTTCCTCAGCCTTTTAATTTTCGTGGATGGCACTTCTATCCTCTCTGCTGCTCAAGGCAAATTCTAGGAACAATTCTGGGCTCTCTTCTTCCCTCATTCCCCAAGCCTGATACCCTGCTGATTTAGTTTAGTTTGAGGAGACACCAAGAGCCTGGACATTTCCAGTATTACATTCATTTTGAAAACCAAATTTTATAGGCTGTTTTAAACTTCACCATGAGTAACAGAGGAGCAAATTCAACTGTACCTGACGAGTTAAGAAGGTCATGGAAGAGCGGTTGACCCAGGCATAGTTCCCAGCAGCTGCCATTCCCTTCAGGTAGTCCTGACCCTCTGGGGAAGCGATCCGAGCACAAGCCAACTGCCGGTCATTGACTATGATCTTGTCTCTCTTCATGGCTTTTTCCATAGCAACCAGTGCATCTGGACGAGAGAGAAGCAAGTCTAAACCAGCCAGTTTTCCCTTTATAATTCAGATTGTTTGCAGAAAAGCAAGCTAATTTCAAGCTTATTCTTTAAAAAGCAAAAAACGGGGCGCCTGGGTGGCTCAGTTGGATAAGCGTCCGACTTCGGCTCAGGTCATGATCTCGTGGTTCATGGGTTCGAGCCCCGTGTCAGGCTCTGTGCTGACAGCTAGCTCACAGCCTGGAGCCTGCTTCAGATTCTGTGTCTCCCTCTCTCTGAGCCTCCCATGCTCACGCTGTCTCTCTTTCTCAGAAATAAACATTAAAAAAAAAAAAATTAAAAAAAAAAGCAAAACACAACTTTCCCTTTGAAGTGTTTCTATGTTCATCTTGGTCAAGACACACTTATTGAGCACCTTCTGTCAGAGCTGTGTGACAGAAGTTACGTGGGCTACAAAGACAACACCTTCCCTTCAGGAACTTTTAAAGGGGAATGAGATGTGTGCACAAATAGTAACAACATGGTCTCAGTCATTCCTTTCCTGGCATGAGAATGTATGAATAGAAGTAGTAAAGTACATTTTATTACCATCATGGTTTTAAAAAATAATCTTTCAATGACGTAACAGAAAAGAGAGACAGGTTGCTAGAACTGCAGGAAAACCAAATTGATAACAAAGTGCAGAGAGGACTCAGTAGAAAGTTTAGTATTACTCACCAATGCTCCATATATTTGCCAGATTAATGATGCTAATGGGTTAGGCTGGCCCAAATTATTAAATTCCCATAGGATGAAAAATGCACAGAATGATGAACTATATAACACACAGATAAGGTTTACAATAATTCCCATATGTCCACATGCTCATCAGTCCTTTCACACATGCTTATCATCAAAGCGACCTTGCTGCTATTCCCCTGCCTCCTCTTTCGGTCATGAATGTCCTTTGTGCGTGACTATCCAGACTGCAATAGTACGTGTTCATGCCACTCCCAAAATCTTTTTCCTACACACTTTACATCGACTCTTCTATAGTATTTTATCAATTATGAGCTTTTCATTTTAATGAACCTGACATCTTTTTCTTGAGATAATTTGAGGGCAGGACCTTGCCTGTTTCCTCCGTGAATCCACCATGATACTTAATCTTGCAGTATAGGTATGTAAGACATTTGTATATGCCATAAATGTATAAATACTTTACATGAAATATGCTATTTCATTTAATCCTCCATGACACCACCATCTGAAATAGTAAAAACCCACACTGTTCCCAGAGTAAAAACCCACAGTATGATTCCAGGGCTTTCTTTCTTAAATCTCTGTTTCCATAAATGCATGCTTGAGCACCGAGTCAAAAATTAGTTCCAGAACATACCTGTGGCTACTTGGTGGCCCAAGCCTCTGCTCCCGCTGTGGATCATCACACACACCTGTCCCTTATGGTCAATGCCCATTTTCTTAGCAGCGTACTCATTGAAAATCTCATCCACAACCTGGATTTCTGCATAGTGGTTGCCTGCTCCCAGGGTCCCCAACTGCAAAAGTAAGAATGTCTGATAAAAATAGCTTCTATTCTGCTTTAAAAAAAAATTCATTTAAGAAGCAAACAGGTAGAAACAACCAATAACAAAAAATAATCACAATGTTTTATATAACAAAGACACTTCTGAGCCTTAGAAATGCTTCATGCATTTAAAGCAATACACAATAAAAATACAGTACAGTAGTTCTTGAAGTTTACTGTATCACTATCTGCTTGAGGTACACACATATTAAAAGCTTCATAAACCAAAATCCAGACCATTAAAGGGCTCATAGGACATTTTAAACATTGTGGAGAAAAGGGTCAAATTTTGGGATGAACTCTGGTGAATGTGGACTCTTATACAAGGTCCAAATTCAAATGATTTTTGAAACATCTATGAGTTCACTGACACCTACCACTATCCACCATTGAAAGAGAATGTCCCATACCTGGAATTAATAGATTTAGGAACTCCGTAATCGAAGCACTGGAAGAGTCGTTAGAGGGCGTCTAGTTTTAACCACTCCAATTTTCAGACAAGAAAACTGACCCAGAGAAGCAAAAGAGACTTGCCCACAGTCACAGTGAATTAGTGGCAAAGCCATCACAATTAGCTGTAGATTTCAAACATGTGGTATATTCTGATCTCATTGGACACCATGAACTAAGGTCTTCTCACTTTAGGATCCAGAAAACTCTCAGCCAAATCTGCAGATTGTCAAAGTATGTACATATACAACTTGGGCATACATTTTATGCCTTATAATCATATCCCACTTTTCTCATATCCATTTCTAATTCAGGACATCTTATTTTATCTTATAAACATCTGTGAGCTCCTCATGGCTTTCCAAAAGAGGAAGAACAAAACATAAACAAGTTTGTGTTCTTTTTGATACACTGCGAAAAAACCTGGGGATATATTTGCTATGTAGAAGGCAACTTTTCCCCTCAACAAAAACATATGGAAAAAATGAGCATGCCATCCTTCCAAAGTGTTACCTGAGGAAGGCCTCTTTTCTTAGCCCTTGCGGAGACCTTGTTGGGATCGGCCTGCAACATCCTTCCGTACTCCTCACAGTGCTCCTTGTCTTCAGCCCAGGCATAGCCTTCCCTTAGGGACCAGTCCACACCCATCTCCAAGGCCTCCTCCAAGTCTCTGAGTGAGTAATAAGGTCTGGTCATTTCACAGCCAAGGCCGAGCAAACGCTAAGATGACCACATCTCAACAGGGCAGAGGGAAGCAGTTTCACTTACTGCTTATTGCCCGCGTACCAGACACTGCCCTAGATGCAAAATTTATGCTTTCAGAGATTCCAGTATTTTGAGGAAAGCAGTTACATAAATAATTGCAACATAAGTGGCAAAAAACAAGTTAAGTGTCATATTAGAGATGTTATAGTCTTTAAAAAAATTTTTTTTAAGTTTTTTTTTTTTAAGAGACAGAGTGTGTACCAACAGGATGGACAGCTTGGGATTCTTGCTTTCCCTTTTTCTCTCAAGATAAATACACTTTAACACAATTTATTTATTTAAGAACTCCCACCCAACATGGCGCTCAAACTCATGACCCTGAGATCAAGAGTTGTATGATCCTCTGATTAAGCCAGCCAGGCACCCTTACTATGATCTCTTTAAACCTCAGTTTCCTTTCACGTAAACTGGGAATAACACTAGCTTTACCATCTAGATGAAACAACAGGATATACATATGCTGTAGCACAGTGCCTCCCATGTGGGAAGTGCTCACTGTCAGTTGGTATTATTCTATTATAAATTCTGTATGTCAAAGGCTGTTCTAATGAACATCAGTTGACTAATGCCTCTAATAAATGGGCAGGACCTCATGCTTAAAAGAACAATTCATTACCACTTCCTGAAAAGTGATTGAACAATCCCCATCTCCTAGGCGGCCTATATTAGATATGAATATGAGGGTCATGTGGTCATTTTCTTTCTCACTCCATTTATTGGAAAGTTGTCCTCTTACTTGGCATTCATGGGGATGACACCTTTTGATCCCACCCCAACAGGAATGTGGTCAAACATAGCCTGGGCGAGCTGCTCCTTCACTGGCTGGACATCGCTTTCATCTAAATTGGTTCTGAGCAAGCGGACTCCGCAGTTGATGTCAAATCCGACACCACCTACAAAACAGAGAAGTTAGTCAGAGATCAGCAAAACCAGGTAGTTGGGCAATGTTACCTGTGGTTTCTCACCATTAATACGGGTTTGAAAGACACCTATTCTTTTAAAAGTTAACTTTAAAATAATTTATTTTTTATTCTTTAATTTTGAGAGAGAGACAGAGAGAGTGTGAGTGGGGGAGGAACAGAGAGTGAGAGACACACAGAATCCAAAGCAGGATCCAGGCTCTGAGCGGTCAGCACAGAGCCCAATAAGGGGCTTGAGATCACGAACTGCGAGATCATGACCTGAGCCGAAGTCGGACGCTTAAGTGACTGAGTCACCCAGGTGCCTCAAGGTTAACTTTTGTTTTAAAGGAGCTCACAAAGTAGGTAAAGTCTGATGGCATCAAGATGTTTAAAGTTATATACATACTACAGGTACTTGGTGGGCCAGGAATGTGGTAATGAACCATGAGAATCATCTAGACTAGAAATTAAATTAAAATGGGAATTATTTGCTTCTCTGTTTCTATGGATCATTCTTGTTGGGGGTTTATGAATTCTATTAGCTTTTTCAAGGGGCCAATATTTGGTCTTGTTCATCCTTTCTACTATATATCATTTCATTAATTTTGTTTATTATTACCATCTCCCTATCTTTTTTGGGTTTGTTGTTCTTCTCTAGCTTTTTGAGATGGATGCTTAGATTACTGCTATTTCAGCCTTTGTTCTAATTTGTACATTTAAGACTATGTTTCTATCTAGTTTGGCATTAATAATAAGCCAGTTTCTAGACACAGCATTTTTTATTAACATCGTTACAATTATTTTGAGTTCCTATTAAGATCTTTTTTTGACCCATGGGTTATTTATTTATATTTATTTATTAAAGTTTATTTGAGAAACAGGGAGAGTGGAGGAGGGGCAGAGAGAGAGCAAGAGAGAGAGAATCTTAGGCAGGCTCCGTGCTGTCACGAAATGGGGCTCAAACTCACGAATTGTGAGATCATGACCTGAGCCTAAATCAAGAGTCGGATGCTTAACCGACTGAGTCGCCCAGGAGCCTCTATTTATTTATATTTCAGAGAGAGAGAGAGAGAGAGAGAGAGAGAGAGAATGCATGTGCATGAGGGGTGGGCAAAGGAGAGAGAATCTTAAGCAGATTCCACACTCAGTTCAGAGCCTGACACAGGGATTGATCCTACAACCCTGGGATCATGACCTGAGCTGAAATCAAGAGTCAGACACTCAACGGACTGAGCCACCCAGGTGCCCCTGACCCGTGGGTTATTTAAACACACACTACTTAATTCGTAAATATATGGGATTTACCCCTAGCTTTTGTTGTTCTTAATGACTTCTAACTTAATTCCACCACAGTAGATAATACCCTCTGTACCAGTAGTACTTAAGTGTGGTCCAGAGAAGCTTTCAGGTCTGTAAGGGTAGCTAAATAATGCTAGGGCACCTGGGTGGCTCAGTTGGTTGAGTGTCCGACTTCGGCTCAGGACGTGATCTTGCAGTTCCTGAGTTCAAGCCCTGTGTCAGGCTCTGTGCTGACAGCTCAGAGCCTGCAAACTGCTTCAGATTCTGTATCTCCCTCTCTGCACCTCCCCCACTCACACTGTCTCTCTCTCAAACATAAACACTAAAAATTAAAAAAAAATAATGCTAGCATATTATTCACTTTTAAACTTACTCTCTTAAGAGCAGAGTTTTCCAAAGGCTACACGACAGGTGATAGATAATGAAACATACTTGTGTGTTACTGTTTTAAACATTTCTCAGTTTTAATTTCTGGAAAGGTAAATACAAATAAAAGCCTTTGAGAACAACGCACAATCTTTTTTCAGAGAATAAAGGGGTCAAGTCCAAAAAGTTTGAAAACTGCTATTCTGTAATTTAAATGCTTTAAAATTTGAGACCCGATTTATGGCTCAGCAATGTGGCCAATTTTGGTAAACATTCTGTGTGCGCTTAAGAAAAGGTGTATTCCACAGTTCTTAGATGCACTGTGATGTGTGTGCACACACACATGTATATTAGAGGTCAAGGTGTTAACTTTGTTAACTGGATTGTTCAAATCTACATCCTTACTGACTGAAATCTGCCCTTATCTCAGGAAAAAAAGAAAGCTAAATGCAGGGCTCATGTATTTGCACTTTTTCTCTGGTCTTTGCCTCACAAATTCTTATTGTTCCAAAAGCTTTCCTGTGCTTCCAAACAGATGTGTTTTTGTCTTTTATTTTATATTTTTTATTCAGTCTTTCTTGCTATTCTTGGCAGAGGACTGCTCTGAAACAAGTGTATCCACCATTGCAAAAGGCAGAACTCTCAAGATATAATTCAAACTTTCACTTCTTTTTCAGACTCTGAAAGCAAAGACATTATCTGGTGTGAAGTATTTTCAGTGAAAGCACCCACAGCAGAGAGGATGTATACAAGTAGACATCAACCACAATGATGATGAGAGCAAACACGTACAAGCCTGGTACTGTGCTAGGTATCTTACACAGCTTAACTCATTTAATCCTCACAGTAATGCCATGTGGAGGCAATATCAGCTCCAATTTGCCCAAGAGTTACCGGGACACAAAGAAGGCACATAATTTGCCAGTGAAGTGTTTCAGTTCCTTCTGTAGCCAATGTCTAAAAAGTGCATGGCATAGAGGAGCCCAAATAATTCTGATAAATGTATGCTTTACTTGATGTTTTAGTAGCTTCTGAGTGCTCACAACTAATTCTCTCAGTAAATGAGAGGGCAGGAAAGGACAGAACATGGTGAGACTGAGAGGTGTCCATACCCTGTCCCAGAAGGACTATGCTTCACACCTGACAGCAGATGCGCAAGGCGACCTTACCTGGGGATACCACTGCTTCGGGGTCATTCATATCAAAGGCTGCCATATTCCCAATAGCAAACCCATAACCTGAATGGACATCAGGAAGACCAATAGATCGCTGAAAGAGAATTAGAAAATGAAATACATCTTTATCAACCCAGCATTCTGGTTGCCTGACAAGTCAAATTAATTCTCAAATAGGTTGTGGGCCAAAGTCTTCCCAAATCAAGATTTTGTTTTCATGAAATCTCTATTGGTGGAAATAAGTGTTAAGACTCCTAATCATAAAGCTAACTATAGCAAGAAAACCTCTTTTTATGAAGTCTGACCATTAATTGAGGAAACCAAAAACAGAAAAGCCTCAATATAACATGATATAGGATGACCACACACCAGCTTTAAGGTATTATTACATTTTTTTTAAGTTTAGTTATTTTGAGACAGTGCACAAGAGGGGGAGGGAGAGAGAGAATCCCAGGTAGGCTCTGCATCAATCAGCACAGAACCCAACGCAAGGCTTGAACTCAGGAACTGTAAGATCATGACCTGAGCCAAAATCAAGAGTTGGACACTCAACCGACTGAACCACCCAGGTGCCCCTAAGATAGTATGACATTTTAAAGATAATCTTTAGATATGGACAAACTGTGGTCATGTCAGGCTAAATGAAGGGAAGTAATCTGATTTATACAGATCCTTAGGTTTAAGCAATCACAGACAAATATAATCCATTTGATGGTATGAATACTGTACACTGTGTACATCTTGGGCCTGGAAAGGGTCCTGATCCAGGAAGAATGCAGGTCAAACATGTTAAGGACATATGCAGACACCAAGACACTTAGAAAATGCACAAGCCAAGTCTTTTCATTTTCCTCCAAGTGCCAGCACAGTAAATGGTACAAAGACTGCAAAAAAAAGTCCCCTGTGAGGATTTAACATCTTCCTCTGATGGTGGACCCGGAATGTCAGAATATGGAGGGGGCCCCACTTGGAGCCCCGCCAGGCCTCCCTGTTACCACCACCACCATCCTTTTCCAGTCATGTCTACAACAGCTACACTGTCTTTTCCGTCCCACAGTCCTAACCATTAAACTTCTGTCCATTCTTTCTCTAGGCATCCTCTCAAATGGGGCCAGAGTGAAACTTTCAATGGTGGTACCCTGATCCAGGACTATGACAAAGAAACAAGAAAACAAAACTACTTAAAGTTTCTCAAATGCTTATAGATTCTAGCAAAAGGGACCCAAAACTGAGATGTTTCCCAGACTCCATTACTTCTTTAAGTGCCATGGCTATTTCTAGATGTTTGAAGATCACTGTCTAAATGACACCACTAGCAGTTACCCATGGACATTCATCCACTCAGCAAGCTTTCAGATGAAGAGAAAATGTAAACGATTAGAACTCTGAACATGGACTCACATGAACAATCCCAGGCAGGGCTGCCACGTTGCCAATTTGTTTCATGGCTGGCAGGAAGCCACCAACACCTGAAGACAAAAATTCAACATTAGAAAAGGGGACACAGGTGAGTTTTAGCATTCAGTATATTCATACATTTCTAGCTTGCATTAAATGAAGGGTAGTGGTGACCACCAGAAGGGGTGTCTGAGATGCAGGAGGAAGGCAGCACGCGCACATGGCGGTAGTGAGGGCATCCACAGGGACCACAAGCCTGGCGTCAGTGTTCTGTGCATACCATGAGAAGGGTACTTGAGAACATTGTACTGAGGGATGTAAAACAACTATTAAATGGTTATGTTGCCAACGTAAAAAAATGTATTCTTTCAGTAGTTCACATTATTTACCCCTTCCCCCCCAAAAAACAAACCAAGCACTTTTTTTACTGTAAGTGACAAAGAGGGCAATGTGGACGAGCTGGGAAAACACTGGACTGAGAGGCAGGGGATATGGGGCTCTAGTCCCAGCTCTGTCACTTGGTTGTTATGTCACTGTGGGCGAGTCAGGATGTCCTGGTGGGGAGAGGAGTGGGATTTAGTTTGTTGAGCTGAAAATAAAAGGGTTAAAACTAGGTTCCATTTTTATACCATAATCACCATTAGAACATTATATTGGAACTTTATACATTTATCTCTAAATATTACTGCAGTTCAGCAAGATATGTGTAATAAAACTCTCCTTTATAGATAAGATTAGCTGAAGTTCAGTGAGGCTACTCAGTGTACTGGACTTTGGAATCTGATACTCCTGGCTTTGAGTTCTGCCTCTGTTACCGAGAAGCTCTGCAACCCTGGACAAGTTAAAACTACTTAATGTCACTGAGCCTTGACTTACACACCTGTGAGATGGAGATAACATCTTCCTCTTAAAGTGACTCTAAGAATTACATGAGATAATCTACGTAAAGCACTGAGCAGAGTGCCGGGCACACAGAAAGTGCACAATAAGTAAGAGCTCATTATTACTGCCCAAGGTTAGCTGCAAAAGCAATCAAACAGTTTCTTAGGAAGGTAGGCAGCCAACAATGTGATCACAAATAAGTAACAGGTTTTGATCTCATTTAAGTCTTGATCATCAGCTACAATACTGTCACATTTTAAAATTATATTTGAGTTACTATTTTCAGACCACAGAGAAGACACTATGTAAAACTCTAATGGACTTACCACCACCTCGACAGGCATTTCTTAATTCCTCAAACATTAATTTTTCCAGAGCATCATTCACATAGAAAACTCCTTCAACCTGGTACCAAAGAAAAGGAAAAACCATGTCTGAGCACATGCCCATGGTGTCTAGGCAATGGACAGAATATAAATACTGTACCTAATACTTATTTTGCTTTATTCTTTATAAAACACTTTCTCATTACCTTAAGCAAGCAGAAAACTTGCAAAGACTACAAGATGCTCCTATCTTTAAATATATGTTAATGCTGCAATGTTCACAAATTGTTTTGTTTATTCTCCTACTCCCCAAGCCATACTGAAGAACTCAACAGGTAGGGGCGCCTGGGTGGCTCAGTTGGCTGACTTCAGCTCAGGTCATGATTTTATAGTTTGAGAGGGGCACACTCTTCATGAGTTTGAGCCCTGCATCAAGCTCTCTGCTGTCAGCGCAGAGCACGCTTCAGATCCTGTCTCTCTCTCTCTCTGCCCCTCCCCTGCTCGCTCGCTCTCAAAAATACATGTTAAAAAAAAAAAAAAAAAGAACTCAACAGGTAAAATATTTTTGCATGTGTGATAAAGCAAAGTCTTCCAACTATGCTCTCATTGAGCCCCAAAGTTCTACTGCTCTTGTGCTTCCAAAAATCAGTGGGTCTTAATAGATGAATCAAAAAAATAAAAATGCAGTCATCTGACCTTAGTGTACTTTTTCTGTGCTGAAGACAATAGCACATTACACTTTATTGTTTCCTATGCTGATTTACAGATCTATACTTAGGTAAATAGTGAAAAATTTTTAACACATAGCTATGCAGCTATGTGCTTAGTGCTATAACCTATATAGTTAGTTTTAAGAGGATAAAGAAGCTTGATAATAGAATACAAAATGGCAATGGAAGACATAATTATGTAACACCAAAGGCCAGAACATTTTTATCAAAGACCAACTATTCTGAAGGAGGTGCCCACTAGTGGATAAAGACTTAACACTTAATCATCTGGACAAATTTCTTTCTTTTATCAGGAAGAGGATTTCCACATGAATGACAATACCAGTTGAAGGAAAATGTCTCCAGTACAATTTTCTAAGTGCCACATTTATTTTTATACACATATTTTAATGGATATTTATTTTTGTGAGAGAGTGTGTGCATGCATAAGTTGGGGAGGGGCAGAGAGAGAGAGAATCCCAATCCTCTGCTGTCAGTGCAGACCTCGATGTAGAGCTCGAACCCACGAACTGTGAGATCATGACCTGTGCTGACATTAAGAGTTGGTCGCCTGACTGAGCCACTCAGGCGCCCCATAAGGACATTTATTAATTCACCAAACATTTACGGAGGACTTCTGTTTAGGCACTGTACTGGGCCACTAGGGGAGAGACAAAGAATATGTAAGATCCCGTTTTGAGGAGTTTCCAGTCCAGGATGCGGCCTAGACTAGAAAATGGAGGGTACAGGAGGCAAGTGCTGTGGCAGGAGATCCCATGGAAGCAGCGGATGCAGAAGTGGCTCAGCAGCCCAGGGAGCCTGAGGCGCCTTCCCAGGCGTTCACTGTCTGAACTAGCAGTTCAAAGACAAGAGACATTACGGGAGCGACAAAATTCTTGGGGAGACAAAGGAGGCACAAAGATGACAAAGATGAGAGGGGAGTGTTATAGGGAAGAGGATTCTTAGTGCAGCACGCAGGTCTTAAGGGAGGAATGGAGATTAAGTAGGATACGGTAATGACTGTGAAGTTCCCTAATCTCGCTGAGAATGGGAACGCAATCCAGGTTTAGCATCAAAGGTCTGTATCTTTACTGAGCCTGGGTGGCTCAGTCGGTTAGGCGTCCGACTTTGGCTAAGGTCATGATCTCACGGTTTGTGGGTTCAAGTCCCACGTTGGGCTCTGTGCTGACAGCTCGGAGCCTGGAGCCTATGTCCGATTCTGTGTCTTCCTCTCTCTCTGACCCTCCCCTGTTCATGCGCTCTCTCAGAAACAAATAAAAACATTAAAAAAAAAAAAAAGGTCTGTATCTTTTTAAAGAGCAGCATATGGAGATTTCAACTCTCCCCTCTTAGGCGGGAAGTGGTAGTGAAGTGGGGTACAAACAGTTAAACCAGAGCTGCCTAGCAGAAAGAGACTTGCTCCGGGCAGAATCAGCAGCAGCAGTGTGTGCATCAAAGTCAAGCTAGAATCACCAGACACTGACAGTGTGTCATTGTTAGGATCAGGTCATGGTTACTTCCTATTCCCTCTTCCAGGGAACGAGATTCCATCAACAGGAACTGGCTAAATGGGAAACGCAAAAAAGAATCTTAGGACCCTGGGCTTGTTCTCCTCTCGGCATCTAGCTAGGTGCTTTGCTCATGGGGGACACTCAGCAAGTTTTGATACAGAGTAAAAGAGTGAAATGGCTATCAGGAACTTTTACCAAGACACGGAGTCACAAACCTTCAATGCATTTATAGGGCACCTTAAGGGATTTCAAAAGCTATTTGATAACATATGCACCAAAACCTTACAAACGCCTTTTTTTCATTCACTTTAATGGAAGATAACAGACACAAATGGCTATGAAGCCCTAGGGATACAAGTGAGCCCAGGCTTTCACACTCCGCTGCACTGGGTCCCTGAGCCTCCATCGGGGAATACATCCCTCTGTCAGAGGAAAGACAAGTAAAACGGATATCAAGTCCTGGCTGAGCTTCTTACTAGGGGAGCAGAGGAAGCTGTGTCACCACTCGATCCTTAGCGAGGTGAATATTAAAAACAGGCCACCCTGCTCTGTGAACTTAAGCTGTTGTGAGACACAAAAAACGTCTTAAAAAACCCACACAGAACAGTGAACGCTAACCACCTGCTTCAGCCATCAAAGGTCTGTAAACGTCACGCAGATGGCCAGCATGACTCAGGAACGGAGTTCGTGTCCCAGCAACTCCACCCCGGACTGGCTGTGCCACCGTGTAAAAAAAAAAACCACTAACGTCTCTGAAGCTCGGGAATGTAACATCTTACAGGGCGTTTCTGAGACTTCTGTGTGCAAGCGTTCACGGAGCTTCCCCAGGCACGCTCCGCCCGGCTGCTCCTCGTGGCCTAGCGACCGCTCCCGCCGGGAGGTGGGGCCGGTCGGAGGGTGGGGGTGGGGGTGGGATCCGGGCTGTCGGAACGCACTGCCCGGGGTAGGGGCTGACCCGGCGCTAGCAGAGGGTCGGGAGGGCGAGGGGGAGGCCGGGCCGGGAGGGCAGGGAGGTGTCGCGGGCCCCCAGGCGAGAAGGCCCCGTCACCGGCTCCTGCTTCTTCGCCTCACCTGCATGTTGGGCACGAAGCCCTTCTTGATTCTCCAGCAGTTTTTATTGATCTTATCCAAGAACTGCAGCTCATCATTATAGCTGCGACTCATGTTGGCGGCAACGGTGGCGAAAAGTCCCAGCTCCGCTTTGAAGAGCAACTGCCGCGCTGTCCCACAGCCTGAAGGGCCACCTTCCAGCAGTCAACGCGCAGGCGCGGCCGGCTCCGCCGCAGGATGGGCGACGGCAAGCGCCGAGGCTCGAAACTCGTGGGGCCAATCGCTTTTCTCGGGTAAAGTTAGACTGCCCTCTAGTGCTTATTTTTTCGGATATTTACTTGTCCTCTTCCAGGCTTCAAGCTAATCTAAATGCAGTCGTTCTAAGTGAAACGCAGTCATCCTTCGTTTTGGAAGTGCTTGTCTGGATCGGGCCCAACTGCTGTAATGAATATCTGCGTGGAGTTTACATTCCCGGCAGAGAGGGGAAGAAGATGTCTAGAGATGAGAAACGTGTTTCAATAAATATAACTGGAGATTTGTAATGTTTCGGAAAGAATTTATGGATGCACAAGAAATAACTTTTCTGTCGGAAAAGCACATTCCAAAGAATGAAACGTGACAGTTCATCATTTATTCCACCAAACACTGATGGCGGTGGTAATTGTGGCCAGATATGCACGACGAAGGTGACTAAATCGCAGTCCCCTGTGGACAATTAGGGACCCTATGCTTATGCTCTTTTATACGCTTCGCTTGCTCACAGTAGTAAGTGATCTTTACGTGATTTCGGCTTCTAGTCCTGCCTCACGTAAATAGCAGTGACTTCGAAATTGGGAAAACTTGGATTCCGTTTCTACCTCTGCCGCTTTACCAGCCTTGTGTGATTCATTTCTCTTCACCTTTATTTCCTCATGTATAAAATGGGACCACAATTCTTAAGAGTATCTGACTGTTAAATGAGTGATGCTCATGGAGTAACCAGCATGGGGCGTGGTAGGCACTTCAGGAAAGGGCTCTTTTCCACTCCCTGCCGGATTGCCAGAGCCACAGAGGCGAAGTTTGTGTCTTCTGTTCATTTCTTATGTTATCCATATGGGCTCCCCTTTCCTCCTTTTCTGCCTCAGTTTCACCCGGATGATTAGGTGCTCTAACACCTTAATGTCATCAACTCCCAATGGTCTAGGCTTGGTATTCTGCACTGCCATTTCATTTAATGTGGGAGGGAAAATATCCTAAAACCTAAAGAAGTGATAGAGCTTCCAGAGTTTCCTGTGACCACAGTTTCTCACTAGAAACATCTAAGAGGCAAGGTATTCTCTTTTATTTACTTTTATTAAAACTTTTTTTAGGTTTATTAATTTTGAGAGAGAAAGAGAAAGCGAGTGTGGGCATAGAGAGAGAGAGGGAGAGAGAATTCTGAGCAGACTCAGAATAATCAGCACAGAGCCCTATGAAGGGCTTGAACTTAAAACTGTGAGATCATGAGGGGCGCCTGGGTGGCTTAGTCGGTTAAGCATCCGACTTTCGCTTAGGTCATGATCTCGCGGTTCGTGGGTTCGAGCCCTGCGTCGGGCTCTGTGCTGACTGCCGACTCAGAACCTGGAGCTTGTTTCAGTCTGTGACTCCCTCTCTCTCTGACCCTCCCCTGCTCACGCTCTCTCTCTCTCTCCTAGAAATAAATAAAAATATTAAAAAAAAAAACTGTGAGATCATGACCTGAGCTGATGTCAAGAGTCAGAGCTTTAATGGACTGAGCCCCCCAGGTCTCCCGAAGTATTCCCTTTTAAAATCAAGCCTTGAAACCTGTACAACCTCACTTTTCATCAACTTAAAGATGCTAAATTCTGTCATCTTTGTCTTACTTTATTAAAAAAAAATCCAGAGCAGGGAATTTTTCCCAAAAAAGAGGTTGACATTGATAGAAAACAAGTTTAATTAAAAACAGAGGACAGTGGCAGTAAATATAAAACATAAAATCCAAAATGCAGGGAAGTGTGGGAAACCCTGGGTTGCTGAGAGAGCTCAAGGGAGCTCCCCCAGTAACAACTCATGCAAATCAGAGTTTCTCAGGTGCCTCCTCAGAAGTGCATGCCTAGCTCTTGGCCCCAGCACCTTATTAACACAGGAGCACACAAATATGCATTCAAACATGAACACACATTCAAACACCCACCCCTCCATACACATGGGGACACACACCCTGCTCTTTAACCCAGGTTGCCTCCTTCTGTCCCTGAGGGTTTGAGAAAGAAAACTGTCAGCCAAAGCATTTCACAAGGGCTTACAATCCGGTGTGTACTGTCTGCCCCTTCTGGGGTTACAGTAGCTGTGGGATTAAGAGCCATCTACTTCCTGGAGTGGACTCCAGACAGGAAATCAAGCAGCTGGCTTCCCCTTCCACTGTCCACTTATGAAGTTCAGACCTTCCCAACCATGGAAGCTTGGCTGCTGCTTTAAGGATGTTTCATACTTCAGGTCGGTGGAAATCAAAAGGAAACCCTGAAAAAGACACAAGGGTGAAGACAACGTCACAGTCTGGGGACCTGCAGCCATAGGCTATCTGGGTTTGCTGAAGAGTGAGGGAGAGGTGGTCCCTTTACCAAGTCCTTCTATGTCGCACCCTCTCCACCCCCATCCCCTTGTGAATGCCTCAGACATAGGAGCAGGCCACTTGGGATAGCTGTCACCTTATGAGACTTAAGCAACTATAGAAAGGGAGGTGGGGAGGGAAGGGGGTGGGCAGGATAGTGTACGGGATGGGAAAATTCCATCAGAATCTTATTCTACCTCCCTCCCCCAAAGAAAAGTTTCGAAATGGAAGAAAAAAGGTGTTTTGAAGCTTGTTTGTAACGATTAATGACGAAATAGCTCACAATAGATCCTGAACTAGAGGAGGGTCTTTGGTTCAGGCAACAGTTCAATGAGAATAAACTAAATAGGCACACTACAGTGTACCCTCTCGTACTGTGGTGTGAATAGGTCTGGCTGTGAAGGGAAATCAGGCTCGGGTTTATTTTCATTTTTATTTTTTAAAAAATTTTAATGTTTATTTTTGAGCGAGAGATAGACAGAGTGTGAATGGGGGAGAGGCAGAGAGAAGGAGACACAGAATTCGAAGCAGGCTCCAGGCTCTGAGCTGTCAGCACAGAGCCAGATGCGGAGCTCGAACTCAAAAACTGTTAGATCATGACCTGAGCTAAAGTTGGATACTTAACTGATTGAGCCACCCAGGCACCCCTTGGGTTGATTTTTAAACTCATGGTTAAATGCTTTTCATTGTTAACTGCAAACTTTATGGGCTAAACATTTTGTCTGTAAAATGTGGTCTGGAAACACACGAAGCAGAACAAAGTAGCATAAAACAGATAAGGAAATTAGGAAGAGGCTTATTCTAGTATGAAAACAACTTGTGCAGTTAGGAGAATATTCATATTCTTACCTCAAAAACTTCAATATCTGAATTGACAAAGGAGATTTTGTGTGGCTTGGGCAGGGGAAATCCTTGCTGCAATTTTGCTAAAATATAGAACAAGGTGTAAGATAACTAGGCACAGACACAGAAGTTTTAGCAAACTTTTTAGTAAAGGACAAATAAATAGCTTTTAAATATATAACTTTTCCTTCTTCCTGATTCTGAGTTTTCATTCTATGTCTCTAGCATTTTCCTGGATGAATGCTCTTCACTTAATTAACAAAGTGCTTAATAAAAATGCATGTGTGATTATGTACATTCAAATGGCAGAAAAATGCTGGCAACTTGTCCAGTTTATATTTTGAAAATGCCTTAATTTGTGGGTCTGCGAACATTCTGGCCTCTGACACAGAGTGTATTTTAACCAGGCCAAACTCAAGATGCTGCAGTTAGTGGGTGACTACGCACAGGGAGAGAGCCTAGGACGGTCCTTCATCAGAACTGTCTATCCAGATGGTGGTCTGCTTATAAGAACCACAGAGATGCCCTCTAGGGAGAATAGCTCATTTCTGGTTGATTCTGGCTGACCCCAAGGAGATTCTTCACTGCCTCAGGAGGGCAGTTTCAATCTGTTTAACTCAACCAGAGTTTAACTGTTCTTGCTGAGTTCTGCAGGTAGTGTTGCTAACAAGGCTTGGACTGGAATAACTAATTTTGCAACCACTATGTTGATGGTACAAATGTTGTAAATTCTGGCTTTGTCCTGGATTCACAAAATAACAGGCTACAAGTACAGGCTTTGGGGTGGAAAGTCCCAAACAATCCCCAATGTTTGGTTAACGTCAAAGGCACACGTTCCCAAGAATCCCCTACCGTTGGCCAGTGGGAGGATACCAAAGTGGAGAATGGAGGACAGAATGTTTTCGAACCTCAAGACCTAAAATGAAAAGGGATACTAAGTCAGTTGCCAAATCAGGGCATTCTGAAAGTACCATGCCTGGTTTGGACGTGCACTTTCCCAGACCTCATCACGGCAGAGGGCGGTAGTTAGAATCTCCCCATAGAGACAGGCTCACTTTCCAGACACTGAAAGCTATTTTGCAGGAAAGCATATTAAACAGTTTCCCAACCTTTTTTTCCTCCTTGAGGATAGACATTTCTGCCCCTGGGTATGCTAGATCATGGTGACAACAAACGCAGAGGGACCACATGGTGGCAGCAAACATGGCAGCTTAGATAATTACCAAGTCAGACAATCTAAACAATTGCCAAGTATCCCGATTAGTAATGCCTTTAATTGAAGTATGCCCTTAATTGAAGTCCTTTACATTATGTTATGCTCTATATTTAATAGTCTCACCAGAACATCCAATTTATCTTGAGCAAACTATGGTAGTTGTTAAACCTTAGCAGAGTGTCAGTTCCTGGGAAAGTTCAGGTATTAAAAATAAATGGACATGACGAACATGGATTCACTCAGTGAATATATTTGAACATCCTACATGCTTAGCAAGCTATGCAGTCTAGCGAGGAGGGCTCTGAGGCTGAGTTCCTAGGTTTATCTCTTGTTTTTACCACTTAGGTCATGTTGGGAAAGCTCTTTAACCTCTTTGTGTCTAAGTTTCCTCAAGTGTAAAATGAAGATAAACAGCACGAATGTCACAGGGTTGCTCTCATGATTAAACAAGTTAATATCATGTAAAATGCCCAGTATTGACCACTGTCATTTTTTCAGAAATGTCATCATTAGCACGCTCTCTTGTTCATACGAAGCAGTTTTTTTTGAGTCTTCTTGGAAGACTTGGGACTCGTCTAGGCTCAGGAAATATTATTCATGAGAAAGTCAGCCATGCTTTCTCATGGACTATAGTCTGTCCTCTACCAAACAGCTATGCCATGGAGGTGCTAACCCATAGTGCATGAG